GTGATTAGTGACAGAGGGGAGCCTAGATAATGCCTGCCTTTTGTTTCACTTCAGTGGTGGTGTCTGCACAAGCCAGAATACTCTGGGAGCAGCCCAGAGCACCCAGACTCCAGAGCAGTCCTGACCTTCCCATTACCTGGGGCCCTATGTTCTGATGCTGGACAGCTGTTTGCCCATGCATACCTCTGTGTCATTCGGCACCATGTCCACTGGTGACAGTCATTCACTTCTAAGGTCAGAACAAATCCCCCAGCCTCCATCACAAGGCTGGGTACCTTGTTCTGACCTCAGAGAAGCAACTCTCACCAGTGGTTGTGGCATCAGGTGGCACAGTGGGATGTGTTCTAAACAGCTGCCTAGCATCACAACATAGGGCTCTGGATTGTCTGGAAAGACCCAGAGCAACTGGTGAGTTTTTAAAATCTGTTACAAAGGGTGTATACCCCAGGTTTGCTGCTGAACTGGCCAGAGGTTGTCCAGATTGCTTGCCAAAAATGGTGATTGGTCTGTGTGTCGTCCGGACTCCCCACCAAGAGGATGGGTGGGAGGATGTTTTATTTGGCCCTTGAAGACAGGGCCTATGTCTCTTTCTTTGGTCTATATACTCATGTCTTTCACTTCCTTCTTACATGTGGAGGTCACTTCCCCCTTCTTCAAGAAGTTAGCTAGAATTAGAAGTTTCCTTTGTATGTGAAAGAGCAATCCATCAGACTTCAGCCCAAATAATGGCTGCTATCTTACACCTGCACATGACAGCCAGCTTTTAGGGGCTCTTCTAACGAAGTATAGATCAACCATTTTTTCCTGTCTGCTTTCCTTTCCTAAGATGGATTTCCTGATACAACAAGTGTATTTTTTTTTACCTTACAAGAGTATCCAGAGCAATTATTCTATCACAATGGAAAGGGATCTCATAGCATCTTTGAGACTCTGAAAAAAGAAGCTGGCAGCATGGGCTTTTGTAGACTTGAGCCTACTTCTTCAGATGGTTGAGGTGGAGCAGAGAGTCCAGAGACAGACTTATATAAGATGGTTGTGTTTGAGAATGTTAACTGAAATTCAAAACCTTGTGGGTATGGAGATGAGGCTGCTACACTACACACATGTCAACACTATCTAACCTCCCATTCTCATGAGGAC